TGTCTTATTGAACTGTTCAACGTATACTTAAATATCCATTATTATTAGAATAAATGTTTATTTATTCTAATAAAAACGATGATAATAATAATAATTCAATATTATTATTAGAAAAAATAAAATTAATTAAAACAAGGAGTAAAATAAGTAAATATATTAATTCACTGCAAAAGACATTATTAAGATTTTGTTCAATCATTTGAATATTTTATTAAAACATTCGAAAGAACAATATAATAAAGTTATTATTTTTATTTAATTTTATTTATTTTTAAATAAATTTTTATTTAGATATTTGAACTTAGTTTACCAGAATTATATGCATATGGAGAAATTGAATGGATTAATATTTATCGATTTATTTCAAGAAAAAATTATCAATGTTCAAAAACATTTTGTTTCGTTTTCGACATGGTTGTCTTTTATTAGTACGTGAACAGTTCAATAAGAAAATCAGGTGATTAGAAATAAGTGTTATGAATTTTTTCGAACAATAGTTTTGAATAGAATAAAATGGCCTTGATAAAAAAAACATTACCCACACCCCTCCATAATTAACATGTCCGTTTTATACTTTGTACGGCTTGTTTGTCGATGAGATATCTGATGTTTCTGTCAAAAGAACATTTTATTTCGAGCAAAAATACGTTGATTGAGATATTAAATGAAATTTTATTCCAGTTTTATAATATATAGTTTATATTTTACATCGTTTTTAGAATTCATTATTAAACTGTCAAGTGAATAAAATAGATCTGATCGTTTTATTCGTTTTTTACCAATGAATGAATTACAAGTCAAATTATTAAAAGATGATAATAAATATCATGGTCATACTTGGCAATTAATCCAAACAGATTCAACAACTCACCTTCAAACATATTTTTGTTTTGCTAATACATAAATAGATATTTCTTTTTTTCTAAATATATGAATAACTAATAAAATTTCGAGATGCTCGTACATTTTTTAAGACAACTAATAATTGTATATCAACAATTAAATGGCAACATAATGAATATATGAATATATCAAAACCATCTAATTCATTAAATATATCTTTTAATCAAAATCGTTTATTATCAAATCGTTCATGTCGTGATTTATTGCCGAAACATTCGTTGTCAAATCGATAATCAGAAAAAAAATCGTTCTCTGAACAATCGACAAAGTTCATCGTCAATTTGAAAACGACGTACAATATCTTTAAGAAAACGACCATTATCGATAAAAAACAATACAGAATTGAAGGGTGTGGGTGTGGGTGTGGGGTCTGAGTATTGTTCTATTCTTTACATTTACACCCACCCACACCCACACCCACACCCCAGACCCCAATCTTATTCCTAAAACTCAATATGAAGCTCGTGTCTTTTCTGTGATTTAGTTATTATAAACTGTAAGTGTATGTAACTCTTCCTATGAATTTCTATCTTCTACCCTCTGTCCCTCTTTC